TCCGCCACTGTTGCGTGCCCGATACTCTGCGCGTGCGGCCTTCATTTTGCAGTCGAAGATTCGGTGGCCCGGCACCCCGCAAAAATCACACGTGTAATTGGTGTTTTTCGGACGTGGCCGCCCGTCGAATCTGTCGATCTCCATCGGGTCGGCGAACGTGGTGTGAGCCGAGCGGTCGCCCTGTCGCGTACTGCCGACGTGCGTCCGTCGTGTTCCGGCGTTGACCATGTCGAAGCGCTCCGCGGCCGAAACGACGTCACTGTAGCTCGCGTATTTTGACGCTGCCACCTGTCGTTTGACTTCGGTCTTCAGCCCTGCGAGGTACGATTGCACTTTTTCCCCTTCGGTCAGATCGGGAATTCGGTTATAAAATTCTTCCATTTGTTGCGTGTACTGTGCTACACTCCCGAACTGTCGATGGCGATGAATTTTTTCGCGGGCAAGGAAACCTGAATTTATCGGCTCGAATCGCTTCAGCAGGTCGGCGCGGAACTGCTGCCACGTGGCTTCACCGTGGATGAAGGTGCTGTTGCCGCCAATCCACTCGAGTGCCGGCCCTCGCATCAGTGTCGCCACGAGTCGTACGCGTTGACCGTCCCAGACTGGCGAGCTCCATCCGACGGCTGCGAAGTAGATCTCCATCCCGGCGATCCATCTGCGGGCGTCGGAGTTTCGATCGCTCGAATCGAATGGCTCAGGTGGGCGCGGTTTTGGAGCCTCGAGAAACTGCTGCGACTGCTGCGTCGTCGCCGTTGTCGAGTCGTGCTGCGCTCCGGCGAGTCGAGTTACTCGCTCGAACTCGTTTCGCCACGCCTCGCGATCCGCTCGCAGCTCCTCCTGAAGAGCGGCGATGCGCGCGAAGAGTTGCTGGGTAACCTCGGCGTTGTCGAAGGTTGCCATCCTGTTCAAAACACGCGCGGGAGGGGGAATTCACAAACGCGGAGCTGGTGCTTACCAGAATCGGCGTCGAATTCGTCGCCTCCGACGGTTTTTCGAGGCAGGTTTTCCCGCTGCTGCTGCTTTGTTGAGCGCGGCCGAGTGAGAAAAGCTCTGATTACCAAGTGTTACAGGATCGAATGACTCGAGGATAGATTGCACTATCGATCAGTACAAGGCGCTTTTATACTTCCAGAGTACATCAGGTAACCAGGTTTATCCTATCTAAAGGGTTAGACCCTTCTAGAATATAGAATCACCCTGCGAATAGCCACGCGAGGCTATTGGCTTTTTCTGAAATTGCAGCTTAATTAATCACCTTGTTTTGCATGATTTGTGTTGTGATAAAAATAATTGTATTGGTGGTGAGCCAAGCTTTGGAATAATTATATGTGCATATTAATGAGATCTATGATGGGACGCAACGAAGCTGTCCTTTGTGCTACAGTAAAGTCGTAGTTACAAATAAACCCGTTAATGTAGTGGCTGTGCTAGTATCCATGGAGGTAATCAAACAGTTGATATATACACTAGTGATTTTCCGTATCGGGGCGCTAGTGACGAGGATTGGGTGTGCTATTGGCTTGCGTATAAGGTTCATCATGTTTTCGCCCGAGTGTACTCCTTCACCCAAACGCATTCACAGTTTGACAGGGATAAGAACCCCTCAAAAGGTTCACCTCACGATCCCCCCGATGCACCCGAAGGCGTCAAGTTGGTGCCGCGAGGGTGACCTCACGAGGGTATCCTGAGGGTTACCTCGAAATGCATTCTGGCCGCTAGTTTTCCCGAGGTGACCCAGTCGGAAGCCCCAGGGTCACCCCCTGGCGCGAAATCCCAAGGTCACTTGCGGTAGTCTTGGGGGTAACAATTTGCCACCCTAATTTTTGGCATGGTCACGGGAACCCAGCATTGCAGCGAACACCAATGGCTATTCGCAGGGAGAGGAGAGATCCAATGACTATTCGCAGGGAGAGGACAGATCCAATGGCTATTCGCAGGGAGAGGAGAGATCACGCGCGAACTCGCACCAACTCATCAAATGCGGCGGATCAAAACGAGACGGTGCTTCCTCCGGAAGGTCGGAACAGTCACCCACTATAGCGGCGTATCAGAAAGGTCGTTCGGAAAGGTCGGAGCACTCACCCAATGCAGCGCAGAGACAAACGCCTGGTGTGTTCAGCCTTTTCGGTGCCTGCAAAACGGGTTTCTCTGCGAGCACTCGTCAAGACAACGGATTTCATATAGTTACTCCTGAAACATCAGGCGAGCTGGAAGCGTTACATTGGCAACGCAAGCCACGCGGAAGTGGTATGCCTAAGAGAGGGCGCATTTACTACTGGCAAGTTTCAATCTCCGCAGCACACAGGCTGTCGGGGACATAGCTTCCCTTCGTTGGGTCGCCTTCACTGTGGCCCAGAAAAGTGCCAACTACGAGAAATGTTGGAAGCACTCGACCTTGCTTTTGTCCAAATACGATACGGCTTACGTTTGATCAGTTACAGTTTGTTACTCTTGTTGCAATATCACAGATAATGTAAACAGTTGAAGCTTGGCTGTACAACACATTACAAAAATTGGACGGCGTGCCTACGTGGACATGGTCAGCTCAAATGACAAGCTCCCCGCCCCTGTACAGTACGTATACGCCAAAGCTCCCACAACCTCGGAAACGATATAAACAATTTTGTGTGGGTCGCTGTAGCAATATTCGTCACGCGCAATTTCCTACATCCTTAGAGCTTGCAAAAGTAGAATATGACATGTACAGTGCACCATCGCAGTGTCAATTTACTCGGCGAAATTGCGCGCTTCGACGAAAATTCTACCTGATTCAAAACTGTCGACCCTTATCTCTAGGCGATTGCACACGTGGCCCTTCGGACCAATTCGGTCGACCTTGCGCTACTGTTCCCTCGAAACACTACATCAAAGTGTATTACAGACAAAGTAGTTTCGGGATGACCGTCGTTGCATGAAAAGTGTTCAATTTCGACGCCAACTGCTGCTTAGGTTCCTGCATTCATTGCAGCAAGTATCAGCCCGCCCTAGTGTGGAACCCCTTAGACGCAATATGTGGGCCACTTGCCCAAAATACACCTGGCGAGGGGAACTTTTCCTTTCTCTCGGGATGACAGTCTAATTAGCGGGTATACTCTTGTTACTAAAGATCGAATAATCTTACAGTCCCCAATCCGAAGAAGTTTATAGAGACTCGACTACTCCGCCAATTTCTAGCTAAACCACACTGTTACAGTGCACGTTTAGGTGGAGACCTGGGCCTCGGCAAATGGTAAACTGGGAAAACAAACCTTAGGGTCTGCTGTTTTCAGGCTAAATAGGTGTACAGATTGAGAAACCAACTTTCTTGTCCAAACTTCGGTTGTCGTCGAAACTTCTGAAGGCGATCTGGGGCGAGTTCTGGAGCTCGTGTCTGACACTAGTGTCATACGGGAACACCCGAGGTGAGAAAACTTGCCTCAGGTCTTACGACTCCTGATGGCTGCTTGACTGAAAACACACCGTTCGCAGACAAACCTACCAGTCAGAAGTGGCACAAGTGCATCGCCCGCCAATGTACACCTCCCAATTCGCTTTGCGACGACTCTGTGCGGTTTTCTGTACATCGTCAACCTTCTGCACCTCTGTAGGCGCACGACCGTCAAAGTCACTAGACCCAAGGTTGAGCCTCTAAACCCCGCGGCTCCTTTGACCGCGGGTCGAATCGGGTCAGACTCGAGGTGTAGAACTCTCCCTCAGGGAAGGGAGACTCCGCTCGTTGGATAAGGGAAGGGATGCCTGGGAAACTCTGGCGCTCCTCTCATGGTTGGTTTGAAATCACTTCGTCTGGTTCACGGTGATTCAAAACGGTAAAGTTCCCCCGACCATGCTGAACCGGGAACCACTCTCTGATTCTCGTGCAGGTAGGAGGCATGCTCGAACTTCGAAAAGGACCTGCCTTCTGACGCAGCCTTCTGACAACGAGGCTGCAGCACGTGCGAACAATGGTGCTGCGAGTCTTCACGAACCATGGTCCGAAAGTTCGTTGCTTTCTGCGTGTCAGCCTGGCGACATCTCTCGACGTGCGTCCTGACACGCAGCGGCATGCGAGGATATTACTGTATGTTGGTTTCTGCGAATTCTCAAAACCACTGGTCGATGCAGAAATCACATTTGCTGACGGAGCGTGGTGAGAACCAATTGGCGCGGGAAAGCCAGTACTGTTGTAATGTTGATGATGGTGGCACTGGCACGACCGAAAAATGTACTACTGTACAGTACTAGTGGCTCACTCTGCGACAGACCTAGAAGTTGAAGCAACTGCCCCGCTATGACACTTTTAGCAGTATGTGCATAGTGGATTCTAGAGGGGTGTGCTCTGATGATGGCACGGCGGGCGAGTCAGGAGATCTTCAAGATCTGACGGACTAAGACTGCCACTATTTGCTGACATGACAGAGAGGCTGGGCTTCGACTGCCACAACTGTGGTGCTTGACTGCACAGTGTGATGGAGTCTGAAAAGTCTGGGCACCTTTTGCTGAACAGTGTGACGGAGTCCGAAAAGTCGACCCACTCGCGCTGCCACTTATGAGGGGCGCATGACAGAGAGAAATTGCAAAAATCTGTAGTGAATGAACGTACACCTCATGTGGTTTTGGAGAACCCGAATCTACCACGCGGCTCGCTCCAGTTCCCAGAAAGGTCAAAACCTGGGCCAAAAGCGACTTTAACGTGAAAAATGGTTATGTGTCGATTGGCTAGCGTGGTGTTTCCGTGTCAGCCAATGAGTAGGTGGATCGCAACGGTGAGATTTGTTTAGTTTTGTGACAGGGTATTTATCTCCCGAGTAATCAACATCCGAAGAGATGACGTCAGCAGTCACCTACATGGCTTCACGGTAACCATCACATCGACTTCGTTCCAGCGTGGTACCAATTATCCCTACATGGTACCAATTTGTATTCGGCAGATTCCCTAACTAGTAACCATCAGTTTCAAAGTTTCCGAACTGCCCCCACGTGTTTCGTACACGCCCTAGTGAAAGTCGCGAAGAAGAATTTCTGGTACAGAGTATTTCGCAGGTGTGCTTAGGCTGAAATGTTACGCAATATACACCTGGCACGATTTTGTTGTTGTTGTTGTTGTTGTTGTTGTTGTTGTTGTTGTTGTTGTTGTTGTTGTTGTTGTTGTTGTTGTTGTTGTTGTTGTTGTTGTTGTTGTTGTTGTTGTTGTTGTTGTTGTTGTTGTTGTTGTTGTTGTTGTTGTTGTTGTTGTTGTTGTTGTTGTTGTTGTGTTTGTGTGTGTATGTATGTGTGTGTGTATATGGGTATGTGTGTGTGTGTGTGTTTTTTTTTTTTTTTTTTTTTTTTTTTTTTTTTTCTTGTACCGGACCTTCTCATGAGGTCCTATGACATCACAAATTCTAATACTACAGAAATGCCCTTATGAACACGGGAATGCTCTTTGCTGACCCAGAAACGGTCAGGGTGCTTGAACGAATGTTTTTTTTTTCCGCGCAATTTCACATTTTAAACTTACAGCGGGTCAGGTGTACAAAACCATTCCAACACTGTACTCTCCGAAGGGCGGCGCGCAGTGATCAGCTGGAAATTTTCAAGCTAAGTCGAAATTCGTCGTTCGACAAATCCCAATACCTTTGTTGTCCTAGTCAGTCACTCGAGTTTTTTTAGCGGCAGGGACTGAAAACGCCACTTTCATTTTGCAGACCTCGCCACGGGCAGATGGGACTGTAAGTGTTGCTCTTGGGTTACCCTCTTTGTCATATGCGGGATGGTTGGATGGCCGAAGGGGGGGCTACATTTCTTCGATTATCAACAGCCGGTACCCCTTTGATTTTTTTGCGATGTCTTGCACCTAATTACATTTTTTTCAAAAGTGGTCAGAATCATAAAACAGGGTAACCCAGCCCACAAACCAGCCCGTGCGTATGTTGCGACTCCGGCAACGTTGATGCCCAATTTCGCACAAGCTCATGTCGACGTGGTTTGAGGAGAGGTTGGACCAGCAAATGGGGTTTGTCATAGCAGGCAAGCTCCATAATTGCCGTTGTCTTGAGCGGAAACAGTGCACACCATGTGCTTCAAATTTGGGGTGCGGTTGCCAGTGCTAGAAATTGAAGTGATGGGGGAAGCTTTTGTGAGTGAACCGAGACGTGACTGACTCGGGCAATAAGGGTATCAATAGTTTTGAGGCAAATGTATCGTGAGGTCGATCGAATAAGCCCAAACGGTCATGTGTGCAATCGCCTGGCAATAAGGGTCGACGGTTTTGAACCAGGTAAGATTCTCGACGAATCGCGTGATTTCGCCCAATTTACTCACTTCACGCGAGTTGCGCAAGGACGCTGTATTCGAGCGAGGCTTCCCTGTATTTAACTAATCTACAGAGTTATCTTCCTCCAGCATGAAATTTATGATAGCATTTCTCCTTGGTTACCCATCGCAGCACCTGTATGCATCATGATTGAATGACCCTACAATGCAAGGCGGTCACGGCAACACGACATCGGTCTCAAGCTACAGTAATAATATGGTGTCCTGAAGTTCCTCTTGCGGTCCCGCTGATGCTGTAAGTACACCAAGGGTCCACCGTGCGCCCTCGATTTTGTCGGGCCACGTAGGCGTAATGCGCGCACTTTTTTGGCCAGCCTTCGCTGCACGAGAATGGGCCATTTAGTGGACACTTATGCTTCCGTGAGATCGTAAACCTGGTGTCAAAATTTGTGACATGAAAAGGCAGATATCTCAAGAGTAAGCCCTAAAGAATATGTAGATTTATGTTACGGTGCACCACGTTGATACGCGATTATTGCAAAGAAATCAAGGGGGCTTATTCTTTGAGCTCATTTGCATGGACACGTTTACCGCTGCCATGTCGCAGGTGCCACAGAACCCAGGTGAATGGGCCGCCAGGTGAAACGGCTGTTGCCCGTAAATGGTTACGAATGTGCGCAGGTTGTGGCTTGGTGTATGGCACTCCGTCTTTTGAGCCGGATTGAAAATACTGTACAGTAACTTACTGAATCTGACGTCGGCTTTTGTATTTTGAACCTGCATTTATTCCTCGTTTTAAAAAAGCTGTGCCGTCCTCCTTTTGTCTCAACACCTCGAAGGCCCGAGCAGCATTGGCCGTGTCCAATCCAAAACGAGAGGTGTACATTACTGTTCATGCAATTGAACCTGCACGCCTACCCGGCAGGATTCGTTCGATCAATCCCACCGACCACCACATCTGACTTCATGGCCACCAGGCCTCTCGCTAAGCCCTAGGGTGTTCCGGAAGGGGACGGAATTGCCTCTGGATAAACCCGTTAAAGCGAGGGGGGCTTTAACAGACAGAATCAAAAAAATCTGTTACCAAAAGGAATCGGCCGCTACAAATTCGGCTGACAAGGAATCAAGGGGGGTTGGCGGGGGTGGTGGGGTGGCGATGGGGAGCGCTAATCCCTAGAGAAATCCCTACTACAAGTATAGCCCGTACGGATTCAAAAAAAGGTACTCACTAGGCAAAGGAATCGCGCGATTTTTTTCCGTTAGTTGGATGGATTTGGGGTAAAAATGCACCGTAAAAAAAACGGAATCGATGGAACTTTAACTCTTAATTGTGTGACATAAGGGTACTTACCTTGTTAGCAAGAGGCCTGATGGCCACTACCATGGGTGCTGCCAACGAGAGCCATCTCGTTTTCACTCCGCTCCCTCGGCAGGCAGTGTTCACGTCACTCGGCAATCATGATCGGTCACTTTACCCTCACGTGCTTAGGCTGAGCGGCGTCGAACCGTCTCCCCTGGTAAGCACCTGACATTCCGCTCTGGGGACGGTGCAGTGCGAGGAGTCAATCAGAGTGTATATACGAACAAGGCTCGGTGTATGACGCTTGAACGGTCACCGCATGCGGATGCCGTTAGCCTTCAAGTCCTTTGATATGTGTCTAAAAACGTGCGGTGCCAGTATGACGTGGCACTAATAGAGACTGTCAGTCCGAAGCCCTACTAGGTGGAGCACTGCTTGCGCGGCGGCCTGAGGATCCTTGATAGTGTCCACTTCGTGGCGCACCTTCAGTCTGTGGAGCACAAGACCGCCGCCTGCTTACTACTAAGCTCGAGAAGTAGTAGTACTATGACTAGTACTAGTAGTACTAGTTTCTTCGTATACGCTTTTGCCACGGCGACGTCTCTCGTCCGGTGACTCTTTGGTGATTCGGTGTCCAAGTCGGACATTATCATCATCTTGTCTGTCCATGTCGATGTTGGTCACTGAACGGCGGAGTCGGAGTCCGCTGAACGGCGAACAACCTCGGAGTCGGAGGCTGCGACAGCACGCAGTGGCGGCAGCGGCGCTGGCATGGCTGCTGCTCGCCGTGATCATTGCTAGTGCTACTAGTGGTAGCGCGGGGTGGAAGGCGCGGTGCTCCAGCCTTTCCAATGTGTGCCTTCATCATTGTCGCAATCATTGTTGTCATAATCATCGTCATAGTAGTCACCATTATCACCGCCGCCGCCGTCGTCATCGTCGTCGTCGTCGTCGTCATCGTCGTCGTTATTATTATCAGCCAAGCCAACTCCCACATCACAATTTATCTATCCTAGCTCGTATCAAATGAGTCACGAATGAGCCCCTAGGCTCTAGACCTAAGCCATAGCAGGTGAATTGTCACTTGCAGTGACCTTACTTCGCTGGTTGGCTTCGCGCAGTGTTAGATGACTCAAGACTCATATAATTGGGCTTCACGGCATCAGCATTCGAACCAAACCCCAATAACCTAACCGAGCTTCCGATCACCCCGGCTTTATGCTCAAATACATCACATTTGCTGCCATGCATTCTCATTCGGCTTACTAGTGGATGAAGGATGAAGATAAGCAGGGTGGAGCGTGGGATCCACACCCACGTGATCGTTATTGCCAAGCTGTCTTCCCTCATTCCCCGCTTCTCCCCTTTTCCCCCTCTTTCTCCCTCTTTCTCCCTATGCCCCCCTCTTTCCCCCACTTTCTCCCGCTCCGTGCAGCGCAATTCCTGAAAGAGTGCCAGGCGGCATGGCACAACGCGATTGCGGGCTGGTCTGACACCTCGGGCAGGGACTGCATTGATGCGCCAAATATTGAATGCGGTTCAGACAGCACGATTGTTGATTTGTGAGCTAACTACCTAGTGCTCCATCTCTCCTGTTCAACTGATAGCCCGACTGATTGTCCGCGTGAGAGTGCGGCTGATTGTCCGCGTGAGAGTGCGGCTGATGGTCCGCGTGAGAGTGTGGCTGATTGTCCGCGTGAGAGTACCAATGATACGCTGCCCCGAATGGTGGGGGCAAAGCATGGCAGTAGCAAGCATTGGAGTGAGGGCGAAATGTACAGTACCAAGCATTGGAGTGAGGGCGAAATGTACAGTGCCAAGCGTTGGACGAGGGCGAAATGTACAGTACCGAGGGTTGGAGCGAGGGCGAAATGTACAGCGCCAGGCTGGCGTGAAAAAAATATCTCCCCTCGCAATTATTACACTCGTTTGGTTGTTGGGCTGCCGCGAGCGGGAAAACTGCCCAAAATGGGCGGGGGTTTCGTTCACTGACCATTCGTGGAAATGTTTACCAGCAGTCACTGACTAAACGTGGAACCCGACTGACTAGTCGTGTGACGAACTCACTAATTCTGATTGTCTATAGCGTTCCACTGACCGTATGTAATAGCGGGGACCCTAATACTGAGCGCGGATGTACTTTCCCGCCAAAGTTCAAACGATTCGCGTTTGAACAATTTGGGCTGCGGGTTTTAAGATAGTAAAGGACTACTCATAGCTGTACAGAGGTTTTTATGCTTTGTTCACTTTCATTATGGCGAGTGGATCCCATAGGGTCGGTGTTCGTCAACACAGTCTGCAATTCCCCGGATTCGCCAGCACTACATTGCTGACATTCCATTCCATGCCCTGTCGAGCTCATGTTACTTCGGATTTCGTCGACGACGACAGCTGGACTAGGGTGACTCGACGAAAGTGTCGCAAGTCTCCAAACTGTGCTCTCTGGAGGTTGATTCGGAGTTCGTAACAGTTTCGCCGTCGCTAGATTTGCTTCAGTGCTGTCGTCGCGCACCCCGCCTGCGTGGCAACATTCTTGGGAGGAGGTTCAAGCTCCATTTTGCACCCTTTTCTCCCCCATTTGCGCTCCATCATCTGTTTCTAGCGTCCGTGAAAACACTTTCTTGCCCAGCTTTTACATCGCAAAAAGTGTCACGTTCGCAAAACGTTTACGCCATTTTGGGCGAAGCACAAAGTTGGAGAACATCCGCAAAGTGTTCGCCAAGTATTTGTTAATCGTTTTGATTCATATGAACGGTTTGCGAGTGTTGCGCGGTTGAGATGTTTTGCGGATGCATTGTTGTGGAAAGGTTACAAAATACTGCATTGTTGTATTTGCGTAACTTAAAGGCTCATTAAAGTGTTAATTTTCACCATGGTTATTGTATAGAAATGGTGAAATGGTTTTTGCATTGCATTGTCTGTCTTTCAGAGTGCAGCAGCAATTGATGGCACGGAGTCTAGCATGCTCGTGCAAAATCGTCGGAAGTGCGATTGTTAGCACATACTTATGGTAGTCGTAATCAATGTAATTTATAAAGTCAGGGTGGCAGGGGACATGTGCATGTCGAGTCAGAAGAGAAAACGGTTAACAAGCCGGTACTCAGGCTCTATGCAGCTTGGGACTACATGGGCAAGGCTTAGGATGCAATCCATGTCAATGACAGCGTAGTTGTCGATGCCCGTCGTTGGGCTCAGGCGCTTGCACCCGGTGTCCGGGCATGGCCGGGGGTGCTCGGTGTAGTACTGAATGTAGGCGGCACGACCCTCCACACCTGCATCGTCAAGGTAGTGGAACAGCACGAGGGCCCGGCCATACCACGGTGGGCCGACTCCATCTGCGGGCTTGATAGAGACGTCGGAGAAGAGCCACTCATGCGGGGTCGCCTTCACAAACTGTCCCTTGGCCGTCCACTCCATGCGGTCGTGGGGGGGGATGGCCATGGCCGTGTGCACCTGCATGCACACGGGTAAGAGTGGCATGGACGGGCGGAACAGCAAGGCGGGATTAGGGAGTGGAGGTTGGGGGGACATGCGGTGAAGGGCTCAGCGGAAATGAGGGTAATGCACATGCGATGGGGGTGTTGGGAGGGAGGGGTGTGGGGGGGATGAGATAAAGCAATACGCGAAAGGGTTTCGGTCAGGGTCGAGACCGGCATAGTTCTTAACCAGACGGGTTAAGAGGGCTCACTTCATGGAATCATGCACACCAGCACCTCCCACAAGTGTGGCTTGCAAGTTCATAGGAGCGTTGAGGAGGCAGATGGGGAGTTGGGATGGTTAAGCACTTACCCAGACAGTGCGCGTCGTGATCTTGGCGAGGTCCATCTTGTTTGCCATCTCTCGCATCGCCTCCACGCCAGCAGTACGTATGTAGGACACGAAAACGGTGTCCAGCTGGTCCCCCACCACCATGCGCCTGCAAGTCTTCGTCATGACCCTCTTGCCAAGGAGGGCCGCCTGTGGGGGACGGTGTCGGGTACACGGGGTGGTTAGGGCGTTTGGGAGGGTCGGGGTGGGTTAAGGGACAACCCGAAGGGGAAGGGGAGGATGGGAGTGGGGAAGGGGGAATCCTATGAGGTGATAAGGCAGACAAGAGATGTGTAGGGTGAATGCATAGAAGAAGGATGGCTGGTGGGAGAGTGGAGGGCTGATTTCCAAGATGGGGGATAAAGTATGGGGATGAGGGAGTGTGCTGTCAGGGAGTGGGGAAGGGTGATGCCAGGGAGGGGTAACAGCAGTGGGGGGTGGGTGAAACACAAGGGGGTGGAGGGCGGATGGGGTTGGGGGAGGGTGAAATCAAGGACGGCGAGAGGCAGATGTGAGTGGGGAACACCTACTGAATACAAGGTCGACAGCCCTAAGGGTGGGGTGGAGGAGTGGGGGCGAAAGGGAGGGGGGGAGGGAGGGAAGGGAAGGGAAGGGGGGGAAAATGGGGGTACGGGAGAAGGGGGCATACCTGCTTCATTGCCGTCTCATAGGTGGCGTCGCCTCCCACCTCTCTCGTCAGTTGCCGCACGACCGCATGCTGAATGTGCTTCTTCACAATCCTCTGGTCGACATTCTTCCAGTTCGAGCCCCGGGACGGCCGCTTGACAGTGGCCTTGTGGGCGTGCTCGTAGGAGTTGCTGGAGTACTCGTGGGGTAGCCCACGTGCCTTGATCGTCTCGGAGAGGTGGCAGATGTCATGGATCTTGACAATCCCCCACCCCGACTTCTGGTTGTCGAATGTTGTACCTAGGGAGTCGACCATGCTATGCGGTGCAGACGGGCAGATAATGGGTCATGGGGGATTGGGGGTGGGGGAAGTTGGGGGTGGGTGGGCGGGTTTGGAGGAGGTGTGATACTCATAAAGGTGCACAACAAAGGCACGGCAGGGGGGGCTTCCGCGGATGTAAGGGGGGACCAAGCTTCGAGGGAGTGGGGAGTGGGTGCAGGGAAGCAAGGTGAACGTGAACGTACTCCTTGCCGTCGCTCGTCAGCTTCACCAGCGACTCGTCGGTGTGGTACTCTGCATGGATGTGCTCCTTGTACCATGTCACCATGCGCACGACCGCCTCCTGCTGTGGCTCCCGCTTGTCGAGGATGAGGATGAGGGGAAGCACTTGCATCATCGCACGGTGCTCAGACGCCGCGAACCCGGCGGTCGTGGAAAAGTACATCCACCCGCCGGGCAGACGCAGAAGGAAGGACGGCGTCACTGCCTTGATAGCGGAGTATCGGCTGGGGGGGGGTTGGGGAGCACAAGGAAAGTTTGGGGGGAGGGCGAAAGACAAGGGAGGCAGGGGACATGTGGAAGGACGGCACGGACTACAAGGACCAGTATGAGTTGGAGAAAATAAAAGGCAACACACAGCGGGTGAAGCAGCAACTCACTTGAGCAGGATGCCGCGCTCCGATGGAGTGAGCTTAGCGACCAGGCACTTCATGGCATGCAGCCACCACCCTTGCTCTATCATGTGCATGATGCATGGAGGGAGTGCTAGGTAGATGTTCCCCCACAGAGTCGTGGAGAACTCCCACTCCCACAACGCGCACTGGGGATTACCCATGAGGCGGGCACACGTGGCGGGTCGGGATTAGGGTTAGTTTGGGGTGGGTGGAGGGGTGGGGATGCGTTGGCATAGCCCGTGGGGAAAGGGAGAGCGGGGGGGGGGGAGAAGGGCGGGACATGAGAGGACGGTCCTGGGTTAAGGGGGGGTGCATGGACAAACAGGACAGCAGAGTCCAATGGACACGGCTTTGGGTCTGGGAAAAGATACGTGGCGGCTGAGAGCAAGGACAGGGGGGGGAAAGGTGGGAGAGCGAGCACTCGAGAAGGGCCGTGTGTGCGGTAGATGAGAGAGGAGGGACACGGAGTAGGGCAGAGGCAACGAGGGTGGGGATGTGTCAAAGGGAGTCGTGGCCACAGCGGGGGGGCGGACATCGGCGGTTAACGGGGGGAGAGGGAAAGGGGGGGCGGGGGTGGGGCCTTGTGGTGCATCGCAAATCGAAGAAACACGTTAGCCAGCAAGTTGTAACTTCTCTGAAATATTCCATTAAACATGAGAGGTACAACATGCAGACGCTAAGGCTTCGTTCGCACAGGACATCGTGCAGAGCAACCCTTGGATTCTCGCCAAACAGAGGATCTTTCACTGGATCCCCCCTGCACCATCACCGGGCAAACAGGGAGGCGGACCCGAGAAGGCCAATCACGGAGGTACTCTACCGGCAGCTGCCCCAGTGCCGGCCATGGCACACGCAAGTCCCTCTCGGTGAACGGTGGATGGAACAACATGTAGCAGTTGGGCCAGGGGAAATCCAGGGGATGCGCTGGGTGGGATAGATAGTACCACCGGCGACGCACGGCCTGCTGACGCACGAATGGTTTGAGGTCGGGCTTGATGTCTGGCCAATCCCGGCCGTTCTCCGAAAGACCAGTCCGAAGAATTTCGAAGATTTTAAGCCACACATCGTCAGGTAGGTAGGGAAGCTCGCGGGATGGTCCACGCCTGCCATCGTCTGCCATCGTTCAGCGCGCAACTATTGGCAAAAGCACGGATGCGACGTACCGCTAGTGCCTTGCGCGGGAGAGTGAGTTGTCGAGAAGGGACGGCAAGGGTACGGGGACTTGCATGGGCAGCGCGGGCTCACTAATCGGCGAGTACGCGACTGGCCGTGATGGGGGGCGTTTGCCGTGATGGGGGGCGTTTGCCGTTACAGTGTGCGACTGGCAAATCAACATGCGGTGCACCTCGGCGGTACGCCGTACCGCGCGCGCAAGGGAATTGACACCGATAATGGAACAATGTTCAAATGGAATGCCGTAGAACGAGCAACGTCGAGCCAGATGCAATGATTAAAAGACACTAACCCGTCCAGCGGGCTGCGGGCAATACGCGGCCGTGAATTGACAAGAGACAGTGACCCGTCGATCGGGCTGGGGGAAATATGCGGCGTGCATGCAGGACAAGAAGTTGACCTTAGATGTGACAATCTTAGAACGCTTCGTTAAGTGTTCAAAAAACAATTCCGCAAACGCTTCGCGAAATGTATGAAAAACCTTTCCGCAAACACTTTGCGAACGTTTCAAATGCGTTACGAGTTCCATAACGTTCCGATCACCAACACCCCCCATCTCCCGCGAAAGAGGCAGAACCAGAACCCTCCCACTTACTGGCACGGCGTGCGTCGAGTACTTCGACTTGAGGGCAGCCAGGGGCGCTTGGCGTCTCCACCCGCTCTGAGCGTTTCAGAAGCCTGTACACCGCCTTCTGGCCCTTGATGGTACGATTCAAAGTTGTCGAGAAGATTTTCTTCAGGTTGTTCTGCTCCACTAGACACATGGAGCATGGACGGAACGACTGGCACTGCATGGTGCACGAGACCTTGGAGGACTCGGGGTGGTCAGTGACGTAGGCGTACAGCACCGGAAACCCCATCGCGTGGTTTCCCGCGTGATCCTCTAACAGCAGCCCGCCACTGAGGGAAGTTCCAGTAGGATGGGGGGTGGGGGGGAAGGTGAGGAAGAGGGAGGGGGGGTGGTGGGCTGAGAGAGTGAGGATCGATGGCGCCGGGATGCGGATGCGTCGTGATACCGGCACAGGAGAGGGTAAGGGTGGGGTGTAGTGGCAACCGCGGGAAGAACCGCAACGCAGTGATGGCTCACCCACTAAGCTTGGACTTTTCGATTATGGGGCTCGCCAGGACAGCAAGGCCGGCCTGGAATGCCTTGCACTTCTCCTCAGGCGACAAGTCGGCGGGGATGGTTGGGAAGTTACCGAGCATCTCGGTGCCGTCCTCGCCCCACCGAGCCCACTCGGGCGTGTTGGAGAGAGCCAGCAGCGCGGGATGGGCAGTTTTCCTGCCGTTGTTGGAGAGGTTCGTTGCATCGCTGAAGAGAATGATGCCGAGGGGGAACCCACGGTCCCCTATGTGCTCCTACGTTATTCAACACACCATTAAACACGGTTTAGATAATGCGGTCCCAGAGGGTGGAGAGCAGAGTACAGATGTCGGCCGAAAGGTGCAGCACGCGGAAGACGGAAACCATAGGGGTCACTGAACATGCCTGTATCGTGCGAGTACCTGTGCTTTGAGCATGAAGTCCGTGTTCATGGGCGTGCTGTATCGACGCACCCCGTCCACCTTCCACTCTTCCGCGCGATGCAGGAAGCCCGAGACGGCCGACTGCCGCTTGTACAAGGCTTCCAACACCTACAATGGTGGGAAAAACAGAGTTACAAACCAATAAGTGTCCATGGCATGCGCTATTTACACAGTCGAACCAACATGTGCTGGATTGGTGTTGAAGCTACAAGGTTTCTCGCAGGCTTGTGTGTGCTACCTTTAGTACCCTACGATGTCGGAAGACGAGGAACCCGACCTCATGGTCCACAGGGATCTCGGTCTCCAGCCACTCATTCTCCTCGCCGACCTCGAACTCCTCCTCGTACTTCTCAAGATCCCGATGGCTGTTCCAGCTGTCGATCTGCCGCGGGTCAAGGTCGGGGTGTCGGAAGATCTGGATCAAAGCTGTGACGGCTGCATTGCTTAGGCCGAAGTTACGGGCTAAGATACAGATCTCGGCCTTAAGGTCGAAGAGCTCCCTCTCCTCTACATCCGCGACAGCGCCAGGGTCGGGTAGCGGTGGCTCGGAGGGTTCTGTCGGTGGTACGGGTACTGCAGGCCGCCCGCGGGGCAGAGCATCCTCTGACCCTGGAAGGCGCGGAAGGGGAAGCGGGGCAGATCCATAATCGTGGAGCTTGTATACTCCATTGGACTCGCGTCGTAGGCTAACGCCGTACTGCTACCGATGTGCCGCAGCAAGCTTCTGCAACCTCTTGCACCGCTTGCTTCTAATCTGGTGTGTTCTTAGTGTTTGGTAGCATACGAAGCATAACTTACAGAAGGAGCATCTTATGGGCGTCATGCTCCACAAGTATATTTGACCGTCACCTGACTTAGCGAACTGATCGCGAGAGGCCACCGATGTTATACGCACTGCGTGATTAGGGTTTCGGAACTAGGTGGAGGGGTGACAGCGTGGTTCAGATCAGCGCGTTTGTTGTTGGTCGAAATCCATCCCA